GACGAAGTCAGCAAGATACGTTTTACACCTCTACGCGTGGTTAACGAGTTCGGGAACAGCTTCATATTGTACCGGGCCGTACAGTCGTATTCGGCCCAGTAAATTGGCCAGTCACAACGCGCGTAGTAACGAAGAGGTGTCATAATAGTAAATATTGTTGTTTGTTCGTGTTTCAGGTTTGTACTCACATCACAAGATGCTACACAGTAGCAGCACAGTTTGAAGAGTGCCGCGAGAAAATCACTGAGATGCCAGGCATTATTAAAGACCTTTGTCGTGTCCTCTATCACAGGGTAAGTTAGTCACATTGAAGTCCATTTAACAAGTAAATTCCATGTTGCCTTGCGTCTGTTCAGTAATAGATCACGGATCACGTCAAAATGTGGTAACAACAAAATAGTAGCACACGAGTCATTAGGCGAGTGTGTCACTGATGTTCTTACCACATTTGACGTCTTCTGTGATCTATTAGTGAACAGACGCACGATAAAATAGAACCAATCTGTTTTATATACTAAAGAAACAAAAAACTGGTAATGTCGTCATCTAAACGTCTGTCCTCCAAAAGATCATAAATAAGAACCGATCAAAATGCGAGAATAATTCGACATATTTCATTAATTTGTGAATGAAATTACTCCATACTGTTCATAATTGCAGCAATCAACCGGGGATGGAAAGTTATTGCACGTTTTAGAACATACAACGGGTTCAAGAAGACGCCCTCGTCATGTCCTTTTACGTCAAGGTTCAAAAAAGCTAGATTTGTTTTAATCTGTTGCAATTGTTTTTTTTTTTTTCTTNTGTTTTAATCTGTGGCAATTTTTTTTTTTCATTTTTTCTTATAGAATCTCCCAGCGCTGTGTTCAGTTGCGGCGGAGTGTGTTAGTGCTTTCAGTGCGGAATTTTGGCTTCAAACTCAACTTTTACAGGTAATAAAATATGGAACGCGAGGGATAATCAGAGTGGAAGGTACTGAACTAGCGCGACTGCACAAGTGTGACAATTTTGTTGGTTTTCTAAAGTTTTGAACCAATCAAAAAACCCAAACACCGTACTTGCAGTTTAACGGCGTGTAACTAATTTGACGCCTTCCTGGCTTCTGATTGGCTAAGCGATAAGAAAGAGCGTTGTAACAGTCTACTGAGCACTCAATCAAGATGGCGGCAAATTAAAAGGCTTTAAAGTTGCTGTCGCTGTTGTTTGTTGTTCTCAATTCCTAATGGATTCTCATCATTTCTTCAGTTGTATTCTACGTAATCAAACTATCGCTGTTGAGTTTTCTATGGGGAAGACATGTTTTTGAGCTTCTTGAAATCTTGCTAGAAAATAACGACTGAGTCAACTTTGCAACTAATCTGTGTTTTTCCTTACTTCAGGCTGGTGTGTTGTGGCACTTACTACTGTTTCTCTTCAATTATGACTACACACTGGATGAAAGCGGTGTTGAGAAGAGCGCAGAGACTAACCAACAGGTTAGAAGACAATGATATATAGATTTAGCCAAGCCTGAAAGCGGAGCTCCTGATTACAATAAGTTAACTTGGTTTGAGCCTGCGATCCAATAAAAAAACAGTTTGTTGAATAGCATACAGACATTGTTCTGCAGAAAATGGTGAATAGAGCTCCTAATGGTAGCATCCACCATCTAGAAAATGCAGCAAACTATGCACAAAATACAGTGTACGATACAACATGTTAAATTTAATTTCTTAAATATTAGTGTCTGAAAAGTCCAACGCGTATTGCACAATATTAATCAGTTCTATTGTGCTCAAATTTGACCAGTAGCATAATCCGAGTAACAAACTATGAAGGTGCTTCACAAACGAATGTGTTGAAACTTATTACACGACTGTACGGTCAGGGGAGGTGACTTAAATGACGTTTTAGACAACGTTTTGGGAAAAGCACTGTCCAACTCGAGCTTGCACCACAGTTTCGTGGTTTCCTTTTGTAAAATCACCTTTATAGCTTCATGTATGGTAATGCAGTGCGGTTCGGAGAGATGATTATGTGCAAGTAACATATCAAACACGAAAGACCGTGTTTGACCACATTTCCAAACACCGATTAGAGAATTGGAAGTGCGACGCGTAGCGGAGTATTTTTGACGAACTTCGAAGTCTTTGGAAATGTGGTCAAACGCTGTCTTGAGTGTTTGATATATCTTCTCAACCGAAACTAAAACTAAGGAGAAAACGGAGAAATAAAATCGTAAAAAGTCTATACTGAGTAAGATCAGATATCCAAACACCGTCACTGTCAAGATTCCTACTTGATGAATTCTTAATGAGTTTGAGAAGTAATGGTACATCTTGTGTTGGTATGACACGCTTTGTTCTTTAGTTATGGCAAAACATGCCTTTAAGTTAAATGGTTTGTATTCTCTAGGTTTTTCTTTTTATCACTGGGTTGTGCTGGATTTAACTTTGAATTATTTTGTTTGCAGGAAATTGCTAACAACCTGGCGCGTTTGAGTATTGATGCATTGGCCAGGCTCGGTGGATATCTGAGTACGTGAATTATTCTTCTTGTTAATTAAATCTTGTCCTGCTCTGGAAAATTCGCTCCTGGCTGAAGTAGGAATCCAAAAAGGAACAAACTCGGTCATTTCGCGGTATTAGCGGATTCTACCGAAGAACATCAGCGACATTACAGAATAGCGCACAATAAAATGTACAGACAAACTTTGATTTCTGCATTTTAAAGCGACGAGGGAAATTGGCAAACTTTTGTAAGCAAATGGAATTACACCTAGCTTTGTCCTTTATAGGTCTGATTTCAGCTCTAAACACAACCGTCCCGGCCGCACGTGCAAATGCACTTTTATTCTTGTGTTTTTGCCTGCGTTTCTGAGTGCTAGTATGAATGCTT